TCTGAATTTCCTGGTCAGTAGCCGTCGGTACGGAAGCGATTGTTGTCGAACCCGAGGTAAGACGCGGTTGTACAGTTCGTTGAACAGGTTCCTCCGCAGAGTAAGATGTTGTCGGTACCGTCTCAGCAAGACGGTACCGCCATGCCGTCAGCTTCAAGGAGGTCATATCTGGATGCCGAACTGCTCCGTCCTGTTGCGTCAACAGTTGAGAAATATTTGGAAGGTGAAGAAACGTTCCTTCGGATAGACGCAGAAGAGTGGCAAACCATGGCTGCCTCAGCCACCATGGAGTTATTAATATCCCTGTGGCGCAGTGTTGAGCTATTCTCGCCACCACCCTTGTTAGAAGTGGGATTGGAGGGAAGGCATAAAAAGTCATGTTCGTCCAAGGGACCATAAGAGCATCCCCCATCGAACCCGATCCGATGCCCATTCTGGAACAGTACCGGGCACACACCCTGTTGTTCTGGGCGGCAAACAGGTCTATTTCTGGGTAACCCCACAAGCGGAAGAGTTTCGCGCAAGTTTGTCTGGCCAACTCCCACTCGTGGGTTGTTAACATATGTCTGCTCAACATGTCTGCTTCGATGTTGTCAGTTCCCGCCAGGTGAATCGCTATGAGCATTATGCCCCTTGGTATGCACCAATCCCAAATGTCCATCGATAGACGTGCTAGGACTGGTGATTTTGTGCCGCCCTGCTTGTTTATATAGAAGACAGCAGGTATGTTGTCTGACGCAATCTGGACAACCTGACGGCATAGCACAGTCTTGAGAGCCTTGAGGGCATTGAAAATTGCCTGAAGTTCGAGGACGTTGATGTGTTTCCTTGCTTCTTGTCGGGTCCAAGTGCCCTGGACCCGAAGTCCCGAACATGTTGCACCCCATCCAATGAGCGATGCGTTGGTATACAGGGTTGTTGTTGGCTGAGGCAGTCGAAATGGGACGCCAGTGGAGAGGTTGGTTGACATAGTCCACCAAGTCAGAGTACGGAGGATCGCAAACGGAATCCGAATCAATTTGTTGGAAGAATCCCGTTGCGGGTGAAATGAAGCGTTGAAGAAAAGTTGAAGGGGCCGCATACGCAGTCTGGCATACGGGACAATGGCAACTGCAGCAGCCATGTGTCCCAGTAGTCTCTGAATGGATATGGCTGGAACTGTCCCATGCAGTCGGATTCGTTGAATGTGGCTGCATAAGATATCTCGACGTTCCGGAGGAAGGAATGCTATTTCCCGTATAGAGTCGAGACGTGCTCCGATGAAGTCGATGACCTGTGTGGGAATAAGGGACGATTTCTCGTGGTTAATGCAGAGACCAAGATCATCCAGTAGAGCGCAGGTCATGTGTAAAGCAGATAGGAGGCCTTGTTTAGTCTGCAAAACGATCAGCCAATCATCTAGATATGGGTATATCTGCACTCCCCGTGTCCGTAAGTACGCGCATATTGGTGCCATACACTTAGTGAAAACTCGAAGGGTCATAGCAAGGCCGAAAGGCAGAACAGTGAACTCGAACATATCGGATCCGACAGCAAAACGTAGGAAGCGTCTATAAGATGGATGGATAGAAATATGAAAGTAAGCATCCTTCAAGTCCAGTGAGGCGAACCAATCCTCTCTCTTCAATAGCGGAAAGATATTCTGTAAAGTGGTCATCCGAGACTTTTTTGGGGTGATGTACTTATTAAGACTTCATAAGTCCAGAATTGGACGAAGACCACCGTCCTTCTTTGGAACCATAAAATATCTGGAGTAGAATCCATGCCATCCCTCCGAGCGGGATAGTTGTCGAAATGCGCCCCTGCGAAGCAATTGAAAGACTTCCTCGCATAACACCGATGAAGAAGGTGTAAAACGAATCAGGCTCGATGGAGGGACATCGAATTCTATCCTATACCCAAACTGAATGATAGATAACACCCACCTATCAGATGTAACGGACTCCCAAATGGGGAGTCAGCCCTGGAACCAGTCCCCATAAGGGAGAGGGAAAGGTGGTGTTGGAAGAGAGAGGATGGTTCACCAGGACCGTCAACATTGGCGTTTATCGACGTTGAAATGTCGACAGTCCTGGAAGAAGCGCTGTGGCAGTTGCTGCCTCCGACGTTGTTGTCTGGTACTGTTGGCGAAGATGGTATTGTTGACGATAGGAGGAACGAGGCCACTGCCACTTATGCTTCTGTTGGGGAAGCTCCATGCAGTGCACAGTCATACGGGATTCGTGTATAGCCTTTAGCTTGTGGTCGGTCTTTTGGTGGAACAGGCCGGTACCATCATATGGCATCTCCTCGATCCTCCTTTTCATTTCTTCAGGGAAATTACAATTGTGCAGCCACATGTGTCGGCGTAAAGATATGGCATTGACGAGGGCCCTCAAATTGGTGTCTACATGGTGCCTTGCAGTAGACAACTGTTGCACCGCCACCTGCATCGCTTCTTTGATGAGGACTCTGGCGAGGTCTGCTTGGTGGTCTGGGAGGGAGGAAGCAACGTTATCCAGTTTTGCATAATAAAATACTGGTAACGTGCCAGTGTTGCTTCGTAGTTCGATATGCGTATGCCGAGCCCAGAGACCGCATAGACTCGGCGCGCAAGCATATCGATCTTTCTCCCCTCCTTGTCACAAGGGGCGGTATGACCCCTGGACTCCCTGCCCTGGGAGGATTCAACCACAACAGAGTTCGGTTTCGGGTGGCGAAGTAAGAAAGGGATGTCGTCCTCTCAAACTCTGTACATGGCCTCATACCAGCGGGATGTGGCTTGTGGTTGAGCCGGTTGATCCCATGGCTGAGCCATAGCCTGGCATAGTGTAGTGATTAGTGGCAGGGCTATGGCTGCAGACTGCTCCCCTCTCACGACGTCATAGAACCGATCCGTGGATGGGTTTGCTCTTTGATGAGCTTCAATTTCGAGGGCCCGGACGTGGCAGGACATGAGTTCCGAGAAGGAAAAGTGTGGTTCATCGGGTGAAGCAGGCCCTTGGGAGGAGATCACCACATCGGGGGATGCAGAGTCGACCTCCCACTCATCCGAGTCTTCCCCGTAACGATGATGGTCACTAGAGGACAAAGTTTCAGGCGAGGTCAGACGCCCTCTCTCCATGCGCCTGGACGTGGATGGTATGTCTCCCAGGACCGATGGTGATCTACGATCCCGAGGATAATAAGGATATAGGGTTAGTAGCCACCCCAGCCGGGACAGGCACCATATCCGGGCAGTAACCAGTCCTCATCCCGACGTTCAGACGAACGGCTACATCACCGAGGAGGCGAGGGCGAGTCTGCAGGCAACTCAGTTGTTGGCACTGGGGTCGGAGAACGTTCCCTCGGTGGGAAGTCTCTAATTTCGCCATCAGAGATGGACTCCAGAAGCGGCTCCTTTGGTTGTTGAGGTGGCATGCTCTCAGGCCGGATAGTTGGCCTGGGGGATCCCGGCAGAGTCACCTGCATGGCTGACTGCAGTGCCGGTCCCAAGGGGGTCGGTACCGAGGCAGCAGTCGGTACCGAGAAGCCCAATGAACCCAAGCCCCAGTGTTTGGGGCGGTCGGGTTTCTTGCTCTTGCGAGCAGGGTTGTCCACCTTCTCCTTCCTGGGTTTTTTTATGGGTGGAAGGTTTATCCAATCCAGTGTGTTTGTGCTTCTCCCGCTTCTTAGCTGGGGAGGAAGGCAGCAACTGGGCCTCCATAGAAGTGGCGCCTTCGTCCAAAGGATGCTGCGGAGGAACGGCGGAAAATGAAGCGGGGCACTTCGGTGGGGCGCTCGCGGTAGAGGTGGAGCACTGAGAAGGAGTGGCCGAAGAGGAACCAGGCTGTAACAGCAGTTGGTCCGATTGCATTAGGGCCTGGTTCCAGAGGAGTTTTCAGAGACAGTTCTCCCGATTCTTCCTTGCTTGCTTGGTAATGGCCAAGCAGTGGCCGCACTTGTCAGTTCTATGCCCCTCGCCAAGGCAGAGGAGGCATAGATCATGCGGATCCACAGGCGACATTTTGGATCCGCATTCAATACATTTGCGGAATGCCGCTCGCTGCGCCATCACAAAAAAGAAAAAAGAAGACAGTATAGAGGGTAAGATAATATTTTTGGTTTGTTTGTTTTTTTTAGAAAACAAAGAATGGAAGAAAAAACAGGGAAGAGATACAGACTTGGAGTATAAGGTAGGAAGAGATAAAGTGTAAAAACGGACAGTGAGCATAAAGCACAAAGATCTTAGGGAGGGACGTTAACAGGCACAAGGCACAGCGAACGGCGGTTGCAAAGACTGAGTAAAATGGCGGACACTCTGCTCTATTTATACCACATAGCGGGGAGGGAACGGAGTTTTACCGCCAAAAACCGTTAGCTTTCTAATCTTCCGGCCTAGGCACTGCGCAGGCACAGCACCCATATGTGTGATGCACAGAAGCCACATCGAAGAAGGGAATGTTTCCTTCCATGTGCAGATGGAGCTGGTATCTAGTGTATGCTTCCTGTTGGAGGAAGGGGACAAGAAGGTGTTTTTCTCAGATTCTTCCTTCCTCTTGAAGCACTAAACCCCTTAAAACAGTATTGGGTAATGAAAGGTAAATCAGAAAACTGCCACATATCCTTTTCTTTGGAGCTAACTGCCTAGTGCAAGTCTGGATGCTACCCAACATGTTCACATCTTTGATTGGGCAAAATGTATTCATACCAGAATGTCTCTTAGTCTCATGTAGCTAGCTAGCATATATCAAAATATGAGAATGCTGAGAAATGTTGCATGATTAAGCAGCTACCAGGATAACACAGCTCCAAGGTACACATGTAATCAAGAAGAAATGTATGGTGAGTTGGGAAGGAACAACCAGTATTTCAACAATGTCTTCAATAATTAGCTAGGACAGAACAGTCATTATAAAGCAACAGACGTATGTTAAACATGAGATACACCCAAAATCTTGCATTTACAAGATGTTGTTATAAATAGGTAATTCCATAAATGCTTCATTGTCAGCATTTATAACTAACATGTTAGCACTTACCCTTGTCCAGTGATGTTTGATTCATATGATGGATATTTTCTTTGTTTCCTTGATCTAAAGTCATATCAGGTGGTGAGGAAAATTGTTTTGACCTGCCAGTGTCCTGGACTGGTTTCTTTACCTTTTCCAAAATCCCCATTTGGCACGATCTGTTAGTTTTCATGCCTGCAGACTTTATTACCTTAATAGGGGGAAAAACAACTCTTAACCAAAGGTAAAATGTTTACAATTGAGCTAATTCAGAATTGAAAGCACTAGAAAAATATTAAAACATATAATATGGATTGTGAGAGGGGGTTTTTTTTTTGAGATTAACAATGTGGCCAAATGTGGCACAATTACAACAAACTATTACTAGTATTCTACTATTATTACATTGCATTTGTATCCCGCCTTTTTTCTTCTTGTGAGGAACTCAAGGAAGCTTACATAACTCATCTTTATCCTCACAAAAATAACCCCAAGAAGTAGGTTGGGTGAGCTTCTGCTCCTGGGAATGACCCCAGGTCATCATTGAGTGGGACAAGAACCCAGGTCTTCTGAATCCCCAGTCCAATAGTCTAACCATCACACCACACTGGCTGCCATGTATAGTCTAGCCAAGATAAAAGCTTAAATACTGCAGGATAGACTCTTGGTTTCAATCACTACAAATAAGGAATTCTCAGATAAAGGGACTTGCTATCGCTCACATAGTTAAGAAATGAACACTTGGTGAAACATACATTATAAGTAGGGAATTTAAAGTTCTATTGGGAAAATTTTATGCTCTACTATGCAGGTTTTCTCCTCTTGTATATACTTTATGTAACAAGGGACTCTGAGAATGTCAGAAAAATTGAGAGCAATGCTGTGAGGAAGCCCAACTCTCCCACTAAGCTGGTCCTCTAGCAGACAACACAAGGTGGAATGGTTAAATTTATTTATTGATTTTATATACTATTCAACAACCATACATGGCTCCCATAATGATTTACAAAAAATCAGTGTTAAATATATAGAAGTTCATAATTACAATATGACAACATCCTACAACAATTTCATCATTAAAACAATAAAATAAACACATTCACAAAGGACCATTGTAAATAAATCTATAAATCTATCGGCCACCAATCTACCCACCTGTTGTCCTTCCTCCACCCACTTATTAACTGCAGCCACAAGATTGCAACTCTGCCTCTTAACGCAACTGTCTAATTAAGTTTAAATAGCTAAATGAATTCAAATAATTAAATAACAGAACAAAATTAAATAAATACTCAAACATAAATAAAATAATAAAATCCATTGATCATAAAATTTATTATTCCACAGCAGTCACAATTACTATCAATTAAAGCACCAAGAAAACAAAAGGTCTTGGTCTGACATCAAAAATATAGTGTTGGTGTGAGGTGCACCTCTGTGAGGAGGTTCCATAATCAGGGTTCCATGGCAGAGAAGACCCTCCCTCTACAATCCACCTTCCTTACTTCCCAGAGGGGCAGCTCCCAAAGAAGGACCTCCACCACTGGCCTTAGGAGTCAGCCAGGTATATATGGGAGTAGGTGTCCCTTCAGATATGCCAGCCCTAAGCTGTATAGGGATTTATATACCCTTGTAAGCACCTTAAAGTGGGCCTGGAACTCAACCCGAAAGCTGAGAAACCAGACTCAGATGCATCCACCCTCTTCAGGATATGGATGCAACAGTCACATCAACAGAGAAGAATGGATCTCTCTAAAGGTGATGAGGGTAGAGAAACTCGTGAAGGGCAGCTCCTGGGCATCAGTGATAGATGAAGGTGACACCGGTGGAAGAATTTTTACTAAACTGGCAATGATGCTGAAGCTTTCTCTGGTTAGTTCTGAGCAGAAGGCAGCAATGCTAAACTTCTGAATATTTCTTACCTTAAAAACCCTATGATTAAACAAGAGATAGGGCCAGAAATGAGCCTCCCAGGAAAAAAGGTACTCAACAAGCTACTAGGGAAGAGCAAAGGACAAGTATGAATAGAGCTGCCACTAATGTGCAACTAGATCAATTCTTAAAGGAAGTGGCTGACATGCAGAGAGGCTAAAAGGAAGTCTGATGCTGCATAACACATACAATTGGAACATGGAATATGAGGAACATGAATCAAGGCAAACTGGAAAATGTAAAACAAGAGAGACATCAATGTACTTTTGGACTAAAGTGCACTGGAATAGGACACTTTCAGTCAGGCAAATACAAAGTGTTTTACTCTGGAAAAGTCAGAAGAAATGGAGTAGCTCTACTATTGAGGCAAGATATAGCACAAGCAGTAAAGAGTTGTAATGCAAAGCCTGTCCAACTAATATCAGCGAGAATTCTTGGAAACCTTATCAACATAATGATCATTCAAGTCAACGTTCCAAAAACATGCTGAAGGAGAAAAAACTTTTATGCAAGCTATACTGATCATCATGGGTGACTGGTACGCAAGACCAGGGAACAAAGCAGAGTTAAATGTTGTGGGAGAATTTGCCCTAGGGGTCAGAAAGGAAGGAGGAGAGCTCATAGAATTCTGTGAAGCTCGCCATTTGTTTACTGCATAAACATACTTCAGGCAACCAGTCAGATCACCAGATGGCCAATACAGAAATCAGACTACATAACTGGAAGTAGAAGATGGGAAATCTGTATTCCCACTGCCAAATCAAGACCAGGAGGAGATTGTGGTAGAAAATGAACTGTTAATACAAAAATCAGAGTAAAGCTGAGTCATAAGTGGGAGCACACAGCGTGAAGTGGTTAGAAGATATGAACAAGAGCGAACTGAGCTAAGTTGGTCTTACCACAGCCACTTGCTGCTCGCCACCAACGCTGCACTGAGAGGCCCCAGGGATGCTGCCGCCAAGACGGACCTGCACTGGTCCCTCCACTTGCTACTTCTGCCTCCTGGGAACATCTGTGTGCTCGCCCCTCCCCCCAGACACCTGTGAGAGAGGACCCTGGAGGCAAGGGGATGGTGCCTGCAGGGGTGGGGGTGGAGCCCCCATCTCACTGGTTGTGGCTGAAGGGCCACAGCCAAAGGGCGTGTAGTTGTTTGGGACCAGCTGGGGCCGGGCCAGGAATTTTGTCTTTTTAAGGGGGCAGGGTGGGTCCGTGTTTTTATTTTTATGTTTGTATGGAACAAGAGGCATGTGTAATTGTGTAATTGGGCTCTATTTTAATCACACAGCATCCTAGTTTTATTGTTGTTTTACTTGCTAGTTTTAACTGTTATGGGAGTTCCTGGGGAGCAGGTGGATGCCCTCATTGGGATGGTTATGGGCATGGGAAGATATGGTGCTGGGGGTTTAACACATCTTTACAGAAGAAAGGGGGAACAGATGGCTAGTATCTGTCCCCTCTTCTGGTTTCTCCTCCGTCCAGAAGGTCCCAGGTAGTGATATCAAGTGGCCCTCAAACTTGGTGCTGCTGCTGTTGAATGCCAGGTCAGTCCAAAACAAACCATCTCCCATCCAGGATTAAATCATGGATGAGAGGACCGACCTGACATATATTACTGAGACCTGGGTGGGAGAAGTGGGGGGCATGCCACTCACCCAAGCTGTGCCCACCTGGGTATTTGGTGCAGCACCAACCTCGCCTTGAGGGAAGAGAAGGGGGTGTGGCCCTAATTTACTAAGAATCAATCTCCCTCGTGGGGCTGCCTGTCCCTTTGAGGCAAGGTCTGGAGTGAACAAGGAAAAGCAAGAAGTCTTTTCTAGAAGTTCCAGGAGAAGAGAATTTCAAACCTAGATTAGAACTGTTAAAAGATCAACAGGGGAACATACTATCTTACCAAGTTGAAAGAAAAGATAGGGTACTGGTAGAATTAAGTTTCAGAGAGTGAATTGGTTCAAATCCTAACAACAATATGTTAACAAACATGGGAAATAAAATTATGACCCACAGCCTGGAAATACTTAATATGCATTCCAATCCTCAAGAAAGGAATTTGTCAATTTATAGGACCATTGCACTAATTTCCCATTTATGCATAGTGAAGCTCAAGGTGTTGCAACAAAGAATTTGTCCCTGTATGGAATGAGGGATGACTGATATTCAAACTGAAATCTGAAAAGGAAGAGGAACTTAATATGATATTCCAAATATACATTGACTACTGAAGCACACCAAAGAATTTCAGAAGAATATCAGTCTATGATTTATAGACTATAGCAAAGTTTTCACTTGTGTAGACCAGAAGAAGCTATGGATAGTCCTGAAGGAAATGGGTGTGTCTCAACACTTGATCATAGCCTTTTTCTTTGCTTAACTTAAGCTTTCTTCAACATCCACTATCACATAACTTAATTTCATTAATAGATCCAGATGTATTGAGGCAACTGGATATATATCCTTACCTCCTCAGATGCTCTTGCAGTGAATCTTCGGCCTAAAGCTGGAGGTGGCCCAAGGACCTTAGTTCCAAATGCAATGTGGGATACATCTTGATTTTTACTGTTTCGAGCAGTTGCTGATCCTCGGTTGATTAGGTGGTCTCCTACAGATACATAGTCTATTTAAAGCCAGGTGTTGTGAACAAACTGATTTATAAACAGTGTTTTGTTAAATTTAACAGGAGAAATCACTGGGAAAGCCAAAATGAAGGATCAGGTATGGGTTGGAGGTAGATCAAGATCTATTAGTAGACTAATGGGTGATTTCTGGTAGATCAGCATGAGTTTCTGACACTCAAATATTTTAAAGTAGCAATAAAAATAAGGCTCCTCTTGCATCTAAGGTAGCTTGCTAAAAAGCGGTTCCAGTACTGAAAACAAAAAAGGCACACTCTGTCTTAATTATATATACTATCTCTGCTCTCTTTCTCCATTTTGTATCTGGCTCCAGATGCTGGATATTAGGGTTCAGGTACAAACCAAAGTAGCTTCTACAAGTCTGCCCAGCCCTGCATGAATTAAATTACAACACTGCCACAATTTCCTTCAGTCCCATATGCATTTGATAACCCTACAATTGATCAATAAACTACTTGATCTCAGTATATTGTGAGTAAACAGGGTCCACAGCTTGGGAGTGCTCCTTGACCCAGAGCTATCCCTGGAAATCCAGGTGACAGTGGTGGCAAGGAGTGCCTTTCTTCAGCTTTGGCTGGTTCATCAGCTGTGACCTTACCTGGATGAGCACTGCCTAGCAACAGTGATACATGCCGTGGTCACTTCCCGGTTGGATTACTGTGACACACTCTACATGAGGCTGTCCTTGAAAATGGTTCAGATACTTCAGCTGGTACAAAACAGAGCTGTCAGGTTGCTGATGGGGACCGGTCGTTATTCTCATTTGGTGCCGGTCCTCTATCAGCTGTACTGGTTCCTAGATGATGCCCAGGCCCAATTCAAGGTACCAGTATTAACCTATAAAGCCCTAAATGACTTAGGTCCAGAACACCTGAAGGATCACCTCCTTCCCTATATGCCCTCATGCCCCTTAAGATTGGCAGGGGAGGCCTTGCTCCAGGAACCCTCTTTGAAGGAAGTACGGAGGGTGTCTACCCAGAGGAGGGCCTTCTCCGCAGTGGTGCCCAGACTATGGAATGCGCTCCACTGAGAGGTCCGCCTGGTGCCGATGTTATACTCCTTCTGGCAGCAAGTAAAGACCTTTTTATTTAACCATCATTTTAATAATCAAGGGTTTTAGATGTAAGATTTTTTTCTTTTCCCCCCTTCTCACAGTAGCATTTTCCATTCTTTTCCTCCCTTTTCTTTTCTCTTAGTTTGATGTTTGTTTTATATTATGCTGTTTTATATTGTTTTAATACTTGTGGTTTTAATATTGTAATTTTGCATTGTGTAAGTCATCCTGAGTGCTTGTCAGAAGGATGGGATATAAATGTTTGTATTATTAAATACTGGGCAAAGAAACTGGTGATCAGCCTGTCAGCTGTTTGTGGATTGAGCAGTGCTATTCTATTCACCTACCTGACTTATGGGATAAGTTGTCTAACACAATCTTAAATGCAGTTATCTGGGGGTAGGCACTATTGAACATTCTGAGAGTTACTTCTGAACCAATGTATATTGGACTGTATTATAAATCTAGCAACACAGGTTTTTAGTCACTAAAAACAAACAACCTGGTTGTCAACAGCAGCATCCCAGATCATGGTACGTAGAATGTTATCCAGTATTTTATTTATTATATTTATATCCAAGCGGCTTACATCATTCTCCTTCTCCTGCTCTCAGTCTTATCCCCACAACAATAATCCTATGGGTTAGGCTGGGCTGAGAGTCTGTATTCTGGTTATCCATTTCTAATTAGCTAGCTTATATAATATTGTATATCACAAATTAAAATCCTCCAAGCCAAGGCAGAATTACTTTTAATTAATGTAGAATTGATGGTATGACTTTTATTTGAATCAAATTATGTTTTTCCCTTGAGGTTTCTCATTGCCTACGTTTGAACCATCATAGCCTCTTTTCTTCAACCTGGGCATATCAGCTGTCCACTGCCTGATTTGCCTAATTAACATTGCTGGGCTTGCCATGCTATCTAAAGCAAATGAAGTTAGCAGGAAGGGGTGGCTTTTAAACTACCTCAGAACCCAACAAGAAGCCAGAGTATTGGAGTGGTTTTGAAATCAGTTGCATTGTATACCTTGCTACGTTTGGATGACACAGCAGCCTGTATGCTAAGAGGGTAAATAGACATGCACTGCACATGACAGACATATAAGGGGTGGAGAAAAGAAGCCACTATGGCCACCTAGCGATCGTGCAAACCCAGCTGTTGTTTTGTGCAACCTGAGGAAAGCACACTCTAAAATCTGTTCCAAATAAAAATATTACAGATTGTCATATATTTGATAGAGAAGTAAGAAGCTCAGTAAGAACTATTTATTATAAAATGGCCCTTTCTTATTCACCATTTTAGAGTGCAGCTGGTAATATTTTATTTATTAAATTTATATACCACCTTATTGTTTGGTACTGGAACAGAGACTCTAAACTCTGCAACTGCAAAGGAATTTGACAACTGACTATCACGGTTCTAATTTCACAATTGGACACACATTCCTCTGTTTCTACATTTATTAAAGTTTCAGCTTAATTGCATTAATGTCCAAATAGCATTCCTTATTTTACATTTTGATTAGTCTCAGTTAAGGTTCGGTTAAGATATACTTGTCATATTCTAATGAGAAGTGCTACCTTTCTATGGTGCAGGGTTCTCTCCATATACCAATAGCCAAACAATGATAAGGCCTGGATAATAGATCAGATGGTTTAGGCCATGGGTCCTCAAACTATGGCCCGGGGGCTGGATACGGCCTGCCATGCCCATTTATCCGGTCCGCCATGCCCATCTGGACCCGCCGCGCCTGCGCCCACCACCACCCACCTTGCCCTGCGCACAGTTTGCTCACTTGGAGAAAATGATTTCCAAGTGCGCAGGCCGCTGCCTTGTGCAGCCGCCTTGCTGTGTGTGCCCGCCCCTGTCTGCGCCTCGCCTCCCCTCGGCGCATGTGCCCACCCAGGGCTGCTATAAATTACTGGATGCTCAGGGGTGTGGCTGAGGACCAGGAGCGCTGTGGATTCACTCTTGGACCTCCCTGATACTTCTCGCTCTCTGATGCCAGAGAATTAAGGGGTTCAAGGTTGCTAGTGAGCTGGATGGATGTACCCAAGACTCTCTCTCCACCCTTCAAGGCAGAGATCCAATATATCCTATGGCTCCTGTGACACAATCCCAAGGATTACATGACTGCACTGCAATTTGGGATCCAGTCCATTGTATCTTTTAAAAAGTCAGTAGAAAGAGGTTAATTGCAAAATGTTCCATCAGGCTGAAAGAAGCATTTACAATGGAAAACTAGGGTAAATCTGGTACAGTTATACAAAAGGACATTCAAACCATTATAAAAACTGTTCTCTCTCATATCAAAGAGAAAATGACAGCTTTGAAGAGCATTCTGTAGAAGCATGGCTCCCAGAGGTTTAGAACAAAATTAAAGTGAGTAGATGTTTGAACTGAGAATGTTTGGTTCTTAGCAATTTTTACATAACAGGTAGAAAATAACAGTTATGTATTTAATTGTAAAAAGAGATTACGTATTTGATAATTTCCTGAATATGTACCAACTGCAGTACTGAGTATACTGTAAAATACTGGCCATTAAAATAAATAGCAATGGATATTGAACTTTGAAACTAATTTATTAACTAATCTCTACTTACCTTCCTTTTAAAAGCTGTTTATTTAATAAGTGACTATGTACCAAAAAAAGACCAAGAATTCAGTAATGAAGCTTTATTGATTCTAATGCTCTAAAGCCTTTAAAATTATACATTGGGAATGTATTAAAAAGTTTCACTTTGTATATGAGCAGAATTTACCCAAAACTGAACCTAATTTGCAGTCAGAGCTCATACATCTCCAAGTTTGTGAAGCTGTTCATGAAGGGGTAAACTGTACATTAGACATATATGTCTAATAAACACACATTATTCTCTTCACCATTCTCATTACCACATTGTATTACATTCATATCCTGCCTTTTCCTCTTGTGAGGACCCAAGCCAGGTTACTTAGCTCCCTTGGAAGCTCCCTCGGGAAAGGGCGGAGCTCGGAGAGGGCCCTGCGACCCATAAAGTGCTGGCGGCAGCCCGGGAGAACCAGCGCGCCGGACGGGGCCCACCTCCTTCCACGCTGCCCGGACCATCGCGTCGCCGCTTTGCAGCGACGCCCCCGTGGCCTCCGGCTGCCGCGCCGCCCTCCAGAGGCCAGGACCACCAGCCCAGGACCCAGGACCCGGCTCCGGCCTGCCTCCCTTGCGCGGGTGAGAGGTGTGCCGGGACAGGGCAGAGCTCAGGGAGGGCCCTGCGACCCATAAAGCGCTGGCAGCTGGCCGGGGCCAGCGGCCGAAGGGCGACGGCCAAAGGGCGGTCGCCGCCGTTTGGGAGCCGAGCGGGGGCTGGGCTGGCCAGGGGCCATGTTTTAATTGGTCCACCTGCCATGCTGCACTGCACTGTCGCTGTTATTGCTGCTGCCGCCGGACTGGGGCGTACCGCCGAGCCGGGGGCCAGCTGACGCCACTCCTGAGGGCATCGCTGGACCACCCTGGGCACGGAGGACGCCAGGGCCATGCTAGGCCCACCGCCGATGGTGCGGAGGAGGATGCCACCATCATCCCGCCTGACAGGTTTCCGCGCCCCTCCCTGCTCCCCCTCGCCGGTGCCGGTGAGAGTGATGCCGATTTGGGGCGGGCTGCGCGGGCGGGCACCAGTTTAACCCGCCGGGCCCGGCCTGGGGCTGGGCGGGCTTGGAGCTCCCTCCCCCTATGGACATCGGCCGCATTCTGCGGCTCAGTTTACCTGCTGGGCTGCGCTGCGCAGTCACTGCCGCTGCCACCGCTGCCAGACTGGGGCACATCGCCGAGGGAAGGGGGAGTTTTTTTATTGTTTTTATAATTTTATTGTATTTTAATTTGTTTTAATTTGTTTTTATGGAGTCGTCCCTGGCCATGTCGATGTTTGTGTT